AACCCACCCTAACCTGCACATCCCTGGGCACTATGGGTAATTTCCCACGGCTGACCCACCCTAACCCGCACATCCTTGGGCACTATGGGTAATTTCCCACGGCTGACCCACCCTAACCCGCACATCCCTGGGCACTATGGGTAATTTCCCATGGCTGACCCACTCTAACCTGCACATCCCTGGGCACTATGGGTAATTTCCCATGGCTGACCCACCCTAACCCGCACATCCCTGGGCACTATGGGTAATTTCCCATGGCTGACCCACCCTAACCCGCACATCCGTGTGCACTATGGGTAATTTCCCACGGCTAACCCACACATCCCTGGGCACTATGGGTAATTTCCCATGGCTAACCCACACATCCCTGGGCACTATGGGTAATTTCCCATGGCTAACCCACCCTAACCCACACATCCCTGGGCACTATGGGTAATTTCCCATGGCTAACCCATCCTAACCCGCACATCCGTGTGCACTATGGGTAATTTCCCATGGCTAACCATCCCTAACCCGCACATCCCTGGGCACTATGGGTAATTTCCTATGGCTAACCCACCCTCACCTGCACATCCCTGAGTACTATGGGTAATTTCCCATGGCTAACCCACCCTAACCCGCACATCCCTGGGCACTATGGATAATTTCCCATGGGTAACTCACCCTACCCTGCACATCTTTGGGCACTATGGGTAATTTAGCAACTGATCAATTATCTCAGCCTTGAATACACACAAGGATTCTGCATTCCTAGATCTCTGTGGCATGGAGTTCCAAAGGTCTCGACCCTCTGAGAAAGGAAATTCCCCCTCATATCAGTGTTAAATTGTTGTCCCTTCATTCTGAGACTGTGCCCTCTAGTCCTGGACTCTCCCCTGAGGGGCAACCTTCTCTCAGCGTTTATCCTGTCAAGCCCCTCAAGAATTCAATATGTTGCAGTGAGATCACCTCTCGTTCTTCTAAAGTCCAGCGAGTAGAGACCCAACCTGTTTATTTAACCTGTGCTCATAAGATAATCCATTTGTACCCAGGATCACTATAATGAATCTCTGAATTTCCTCCAATTCCTTAAGTAAGGGGAGCAAAACTGCTTGAAGTTCTCCAGATATGGTCACACCAGCACCTTGTACAGTTGCAGGAAGGCTTCCCTACCCCAACCCTCTTTGAAATAAGGGCCTTTCTGATTATGTGCTGCCCCTGTGTGCTAACTTTCTGGGTTTCATGTAACCAGGTCCCATTGGCTTGCAGCCTTCTGCAGTCCTTCACCATTTGAGGGTGGTGGGTGTGGTCTGGGCAGTGTCACAATGGGATGGGTGTGACCAATTGAATGGTGGGCAATGTCACAATGAGGGTGGGCGTGGCCAATTGAATGGCAGATGGTGTCACAATGGGATGGGTGTGGCCAATTGAATGGTGGGCAATGTCACAATGGGATAGGCGTGGCCAATTGAATAAGGGTGATGTCACGATGGGAGTGAGTGTGGCCAACTGGATAGTCAGGTGTCACAATAGGTGTGGGTGTGGCCAATTGAGTAGTGGGCAGGCTCACAAAAGGAATGGGCATGGCCAATTGGATCATGGGTGGTATCACAATGGGAGTTGGTGTGGTGAAATGAATAGGGAGTGGTGTCACAATGCAAGTGGGTGTGGCCAATTGAATGGGGATGGTGTCACAATGGGATGGGCATGGCCAATTGGATCATGGGCGATGTCACAATGGGATGGGTGTGGCCAATTGGATCGTGGGCGATGTCACAATGGGATGGGTGTGGCTCATTGGATAGTGGGCGATGTCACAATGGGATGGGTGTGGCCAATTGGA